TATCCAATCCAATGTTTTTTTTTCATCTCTTAATTAAAATACTAGTTGGTATGTTATTTCGCATTATGTAGTCTGCAAGATTCCCTGGATCTAGGCTTCATTGTAGTTAATCTCTTCAGAAAGCCATACTCGCCATGTTAACGATCAATATTTGGTACAAAATCTATGTACAGAGCTTCATCCTGATTGCTTTCAACCATCTAAATTTAAAGATAGGTCACCACAGTGTTAAATTCTTAAGACTACTGGTTACATGGTATATATGTTTTAGGGGTTTGATCAAAGTATCGGTTATTATTCAGTGATCAATTTTAAAAAGTGAGATAAAATTTTAAATCAGTGTGACTTTATTCACCATAAAATTCCTTTTATTGTTCTGTTATATATTCATTGATGGCATTGTTTACTAACATAACGTATAGTTTAGAGAAGGTTTTGCTATTAAATTATTAAAAACTAAATCATTATTGAATAACAATCCATTTAGTATGTTTGTATCGGAAGGAAAGTTATAATTCGCCATCTAACCCTAAAGATAATTCACCTAATATTGTTGACATACAAAAACTTTTAGTATCTTCATGTGAGTGGAAAACATTGATGAGTGATGGTTAAAGTTCTGTTTGTAAATAAATGTACATTTTTAATACTAAAAACGTATGTTCAACATACTTATTTTCCATATCTAGAAATCTTCTTCACCATTTCAAGTGATAGTTGAGACATGTAATAGGTGTATGACAGAATAAGTTCTTTTCATTTCATCATGTGAGATGTAGTTGTTTATTGATCGTTGACCGTGTTTATCTTTATTATGACAGTCGATTCTCATAAAATGACTTGATACATATAAAGTTATTGAGTGTATGGCTTACGAAAATTAATATATGAAAAATAATATGAGCTTACTCATGATGTTTCATGAAACTGCAATGAGTTATTCATCCGAATATATTTAAATTAAGTTTTAACCACTTATTTACATAGTCTCAAACATTCACTATTATAAGTGAACCGTAGGATTCCATATAATAGATCATCATCATATTCGGTGAATATATACATACTAAATTTTGAATTAGGAGTATATGGTGACAAAAATGTTGACAGTTGGTTATTGAGTGATAACAAGTGTCATGTTTGTTTCATTTAGTGATGGCATTGTATCTCATAGGGTGTTTCAACGACCATCTCCAGTCAGTTAGCATCTCATCTTAATACAGTCAATGCTTAGTCGATTAAACTGACTGTCGAGTAGCAACTCAGTAGACAGTATTCAATCGGTACTAAAGGAACAGAAAAGCATGAAATCTGACCACTACTCTATGGTCAACAAATGAAAATGCATCAATCTAGTAGGAAGTCAATCGCTTACCAAACAGCTCAACTATCATGTTCTAGAGTGTTCAGCTAAGTGGTGCAAGTTCAAATTACACAATGGGTATTAGTTGCCTCAAGATTGCCGTTACACCTTGCTGATGAGTGCTAACAAACACGAAACCAAAGTTCAAGATTTCCTGCTCATCACCTCAAACCATCTAACATGTTGATTGTTTACATGCTTCTAATTGATTAATTTGAAAAATTCTCCAACATAATAATTAGCTCACATAAGTCATTAAAATGTAAATAGAATTCCCATGGAAATTTAATTTCATAACAGAATAATGAAAATTGTTTCTTTCTAGCAACATCATTCACTTTTAAATGTGTATAATAGAGTTTGTTTGTTTGTTTTAAAGTGTGTATAATTAATTTTTGATTATTTAAAAATATTCAACAAATTAACCTAGAAAAATTTATCACAAATATTGAACATCTTGCTTTTAATTTAAATTTTTTTTATCTCAATCACTAAGTGACTGTCAATGTATTGGAAACGATAAACAAAGAGAAATTGTATTTACATAGGAGAATGAGGTTAAATAAGGTGAAAATAAAAAGTGAATACTATAAAAATATACTTTTACATGGAAAATTAGTGTTGCCAATTACTTGTCTCGGTATGACATAATATGATTATCCACAATAAAGTACCCTTATAATAATAACATAGTAATAAGTTCAATTATTTTGTTTTTAAACCAATTATCAAACAAAAAAGGGTTGATGATATTTTATTGTTGTATTTATTTATTCATCATAATGTACACATAAATAAATGAAATGTATTTTAGTAATTATTTTATTTATTTACATGGTTGAACTCCATCAGCCAGCTATCCTATCAATATAGAATTCAATGTCACTAGTTAACCGATAATTTTTCTTGCATTAAATAGTTTATAGATATCGGTTCAAGCCGAAGAGAATTTTCGACACTAGTTCAATCATATTAACGATGATATAATGATCAGCAGTGGTAATAGATAATCAACCTACCAACTTTTTAATTAAACTAATATGGGAAATAGAAACCATGACATTTTGGCTTATTAACCTAAGGATATGGCACTTTATAAGGTATAAGGTACATCCTGAAACTTACACTGTGCATACTCTTGAGTGTACATTGCTAATGAGCTATAAAACAGAGTTTCATAATGCTTAGATAAATGAATTTTGTTAATGTTGCTACTTCTAAGATTATTTAACTCTTATTTTTGATGATTAGTAAAAAAAATTAAAATATCATACGATATTCCTATACTAAGAAAATTATTTTTTTTCTAATTAACGTTAGCCTATTGATAATAATCAAGACAGTGGCTGTTCAGTAACTGCTTAGAATCTGATTGCTATAGCAATGAGAGATTCTCCTTCATTCGATCTCACCCTATCTCATATATATATATATATATATATATATATATATATATATATATTACCAACATACATAATTGCCAGTGAGTTAACGATCCATATGATTTGACCTACGTAGTATGATGAATTATAAAGATGCAATCTGTATACAAAGAAAGTATTGGTTACTAACCGGATGTGACTTTAGTTTCTGAAAGAATAAAAATGGAAACTCGGTTAAGAATGAGATAGTATATTTGTCAGGATCTTATCATATGTAATTTCATAACTTTAATTATTAGCTAAAACAAAAATATTTATATGATAGTGCGTGACTATATATTATTTAAATTAAGGTTTCATATTAAACAAATGTTTCAATCTCCTACAGTACTGTACAGTAAGTGTTTCTGATTTCGGCAACATTGACAACCTGTCATAGTGTAGAAACCATTTATAAGAAAATATGTGTGACACGCAGACTAATTTTCGCCTCATAAAAAAATGTACACATTCAAAGTTAGTTTTTATACCAATGATGTTTCCTCTCGCAATTAGATTCATGCGTGGGGAATTCCAGAAAAAACTTGAAGGATATTGTTACAAAAAATATTCTGAATTTTCACTGTGTTAGCTCTCTAGACTAAATCATGCTTGGTAAATCAGTTAACTTGGAGGAAATAATATTATATATATTAATTAATGTTCTAGTTTTTATAAGGACCACCAACCACGTGACTCCTTAAGAATCTAAGCTTCTGCCATGAAACGTTATAACTCTTCGAATTGAAGAGAACATTTCAAATGAATTAAATGACTTTTCTGTTTAGCGCTTTCTAGAAAGGTTCTTCTCTGTGAGGCGGAGTTACTAACTTCATCCACAACCTTGTCTCTTTATCCAGGCTTGCGATCGGCAGTAGCCATAAGAGGGTTCCAGGTAGTGTTTCACACAATATAACCTGGAATTTTTTTAGGTCCATTTAGCTGAGTTTTCAGAAAACATAACTATTTACACTGCGTCTTCAACAGATCATTCAGTCGAACAATATTCATAAGGTCACAGAGATGAAAATGGTTTAGTGTTACTCATATTTTCTCACATTGTAATGGCTTTCTTTTCTACTTAGTCAATTAAATAAATATGTTGAAATTAGTTTATGACAAGTTTGTGATGTGAGTGATTTCAAAACTTCAGAATTTCTAAGATAATAGTTAAATTTTTGATTACAGAATTGTAGTTACAGGTTTTACTCCTGTTGCGCTTCATGAAGCATAGGCCGCTGGCTAGCAATCTCCAACCAACTCTGTTCTAAAATCTCTTTTACAATTGTTCTCAATTACTATTTATTCTTTTTCTGTTTGTTTCCAATTCTCAAGGTAATATGTTTGTTTGTCTACCTCTTTTCCTTCGACCTTGGTGTTTCCAAGTGAGGGCTTGCCCCACAATGCAGTTGGCTGATTTCGAAAATGTGTGTTTTATCTATCTCCAGGGCCTTTTCCTAATGTAATACTTAGCAGGAAGCTGGTTTGTTCCCTAACATATTAGGTTGTTGTCGGTGGTGTCTGACCGACAGATCCACAGTATCTTACTTAGACAACTGTTTACAAATACCTGTTTCCTTATGATGATAGTTTTCACATTGCCCTACGTTTCCGATCCACACAGTAACACTGTTTGGACGTTTGTATTGGAAATTGTGACGTTGTTGTTGTTGTTGACTGATAGTAGTTTTGAGTTCCAGTTGTCTCTCCGTTGTGAACATATCACCCCTGCTTTGCCGGTTTGTGTCTTCACATCTGCATCTGATCCACCATGTTATTGGATGATGCTGTCCAAGTAAGTGAGAGTTTCCCTATCTCCCTGAGCTTCTGTGTCAAGTGTGATTTGGTCGGTCCACATTGTGTTGAATCAGAGGATGTTGCTTTATCCATTATGTGTGCTGAGGTCAACTGCTGTAGATGTTGCTGTTACACTGATTGAATTTTCTTGAATTAGTTGCAGTGTGTGGGATAGAAGAGCTAAATCATCTGGTTTAGGGTACATGAAATTAGGAACAGCTGTTGTTATTTTTTCGAAAAGCTATCAGAAGTTTTGTTCCATGTGGTTCCAAGACTCATTCGATCCTTAAAAATCTATTCATCTCGAATTTTTAAAGACGATCAACTGTATATATAACGATATAGTTAATTGTGACTCATGTAATCTGATGATTGTTTTACAATTAATCCGTTTAAGTATTTTTCCTTACTGAATGCAGGTGAGGCTATACGAATGGCTCGTGATTTTAGCTATTTATGTGAAAATGAGTTTCCACACAGAATATGTGCTGAATATCTTTCACGTACCTTGAATGGATGTGATTCTAGTGATGTACAAAAGAAACGAAATCAAGTGATTTCAACAAAGTAAGTTAATTTCTCTATTTGTGTAGCAATCAAATTAGTCGTATTTCCAAAACTTATCATGTGAATATAGATTCTAAATTGTTCCAAATCAGAAATTCATACCAGGTAGAGTACAAGGTGTCTTGAAAAGTTGTCTCATCCACGTTTAGAATTTGTTGAATTTACGTTTTTGATCATCAGATTACTGAAAATTAATTTCACATAACCATATCAATGAATAAATAGAATCTATCTGTCTATGCGTCATATTGTTAACATCGTTCAATAAGCATTCCAAACGAATAAAGTCGAGTTTACTTGTTTATATTTTTCTTAAATATACATAACGCATGAATCTTTTGCGACATACAAGATTTGTCACGCTGGCAGTATTTTGACATGAATTTACTAACGAAAGTAATTACTACAGAAGGATGATTACTTTCCTCATCTGTTGACTAGAACAAGTTATTTCTGGAAATGCCAAATTCTGATGCTAATTGTCCAGAGGTTAGCAATGAATAATAAAATATGCTCAGTTGTAGTTTATGTAAACAATTCCGGTTATCGATATAGAAATGAGTATTATTGCCGTGGCTGTATCAAAAGATAATATCTATCCGTAACATACAGTTCATATATTGATTTTTATTATGAGTAATAAGCAATTCTATTGGCGCATCTATATTTCCTTGAGATATAAATAAAAACGTGGCAATTATTATTAACTGAATGTTGAATACAAGTGTTTTTTATTTGCACCTGATTGCTATGATGGCTTATTAGATTTGATTCAGCTGATGAAACTAATAACTTGTTAATTCCAGATCTTGATGGAATAGACCTTTGAAAAAAATTACTAACCAGTTACTGTTCATATGTCTAAGGGAATCAAAATCATTATTAATGCGCTTGATATTCAACTTAAATATGGTAAAAATGAATTTATTGTTAATTTGTAAGTAAATAGTTGAGATGATATAAATGTAGTTCAAAAAACAATGAGCAATTATTAGCTTCGATTTTTCATAATTAATGTATTTCTATTGTTCAATATTGAATTATAAAGCAAATAATATCCTTATTTTATTAACTTATGTAGACAAATGTTAAGTGAAATCACTGATTTATTAACAAAAGACAGAAGTCCACTTGCAGTGAATCCACTTCCACCAAGTAGATCTACAAATTGCATTGATGTTACTACTCAAAAATCATTGACTCATTTCAGTCATATTACACATGGATTTGGTGGTTTAACTTTAATTAGCGCTTTAAATACATTTCAAACAATTCTGTCAGATTTGCTTAAAATTTTAAATAAAGATGGACAGTCAATTATTTATCCTACAAATAGTTCAACTACATATACCGACAGACATACACCTGTTACTTCGGGTATTTGTCATCAGCATCAAATACAACAATTTTCAAATATTCCTATATCTAACACTTTAAATGAAGCGCAAACCCTATCTTCATTATCTTCAACAATTAGTACAGATTCATTAAACAATAATAACATACAACGTCGGAAATATCTTATGCAACATATGAGTGAAAATAATCCATCAGACATACGAAATATGATTTCCATACAAAGAAATAATTTGGACAATGATATTGAAAATGGTACTGTTCTAAACGGAGTTAGATGAACAATAACAACAACAACAACATCAGAAACCGAAATTTTCAATCGTCTAATTCTAAATGAATAAACTGGTGATACTAATAATTTTCACATTTTCTAAATATTATGGCTGAATTACCATATATTATTTTGTTCATAGAAATATTATCAATTAAAAGAATGCTGTAAATATATAGTAAAACTGATAAATTAACTGGTTTTTAATTTAAAAAAGACTTCCTTTCTCAGTTTCGAATGGTCAATAGTCTTGATAAAACAGACCACATATTCAGGTGTGTTTAATAATAAACGTTACAGAACTGTTTCTTTCTTAGTCGGGTTTTTGAGAGGAAGAAAGTTTAATCTAGTATGTTTTCAAACACCGATCAAAGTTAACTCAGTAGCTGATGAATTGGACGATAAAAAAAGTGCTATAACTATTCTACTAGAGTTATATTCAGTTATTTATATCTTAACGGTCACTACATGTAGAAAATCTTTTTAATGCTTTGACAACAACTTGCATTAGTGAATAGAAGAATAAGGGGGTTATTGAGATGCAACCATACACTTTTGAGCGTATGGTATCTTAGGGCAAACTAAAACAATTTAAACTTTCTATTGTCATTGAATATTAACTTATGAAACTGAATTTTAAGTAGATCCATTATATTATTACTGCGCAAATGAGAGCTACTTAATAACGTTTTGTGCAGTTGTGTTAAATTAGTTAAATATTTAGTCAGAAATGTTTGTATATATGTTGATCAATTTCAGTGAAAGAATGGAAAAGTTAGTAACCATTAAATTAACTTTTTACCTCAACATCTCATTCGATCGTTGTTAATCCTTGTATTTCAAATTTTACTACTTTATTTTTATAAGTAGTCTAAAAAAACGCTAACCAGTCTAAATGCACATTTAACTATTTCTGAATCATATTTATTTTGATGAATGTTAACAGAACATGTCGGTTTCTATACTTTAATCGAATCTCTTCTTCTTTATGAATAAAAACTCCCTTTAAGCGTTCATTATATGTATTTGATGGTGATACGAAGTTCATTCAAACTTAGATTCTCTTGTTTTCTAATATAGAAGTTTAAAACCGCCACTACGCCATTTGTTAAAAATGAAATATACTTATAGAAATAGTTAGATTTGTCAAGGCGTACAAATCATCATCAGCTTCTGCTAGTCAGCAAAAGTGAAATATAATTCAAACATTCATAACAAACTCCATAACAGAGTAAGAAAATGAAATGATAATGTAATCATACAGTTTTGTAAAGAGAAAAAAATGCTTCGTACCTTTTTATGACTCAAACAGTTATTTAGATTAGTTTTAGTGGAAGATTCTAGAAACATTAGTGATTTAGCTGTTGATATTTAGGTTTAAACGATATCATATCTAATAAAAACGCGAATAGAGAAATAAGAAGACATATTTTGTGAGATAGTACCATTTCGTGCTTTCTCGTCAGTCACATACAAGCAACATGTTATTTGTATAAATACAGTTTTGAAGATAAGGTCAAAATTTCATCAGAATACAACTACGACGAAGCTGATAGCAACTGATGTGCCCAAGAAACCAGTGTACCTACAGTTACCTTTCAAGGGTGATCATTGCATGAAAATTACAACCAAACAGACTGCAGCTGCAATAAAAAAGACCTTCAATGCAGCTAATCTGAGGCTTATCACAACAACTCAATCGATCTCAGTTACCCCAATCAAGTCTCCAAGACCGATTCAGTCCAAATCCCACTGTATTTACCAATTCACATGTAACTGTGGAGAAAGTTACTTAGGGAGGACAGGTCGCCGATTGGAAGACAGGATAGGGGAACATATTCCAAAATGGCTAATCAAATCCATGATTCATCAACCTAGCCCATCATCTCAAAATCGATCAAGAAACCCAGCCTCGTCCACCTAATGATGAGTGGTCATCAAATTGACCCAAAATCAGCCTTTAGAGTTGTGACATGTAATCAAAACCCACACACACTGAAACTACTCGAAGCTATCTTGATTGGTCGGAAAAGTCCAACTTTATGCGTTCAAAAACAACTGTATGTTGACCTTTTTTTGCCATGGTTCTAGTGAGTGAATGTCATGCTAAATAAGAAATTTTGACCTTATCTTCAAAACTGTATTTACAAAAATAACATGTTGCTTGTATGTGACTGACGATTACAAAATATGTCTTCAACACCCATTTTTCTGATCAGTTAAACCAGGCGCCTACATGTTCAGAGTATTACGCCAACCCAATGCCAGCTGACGGCTTAGGGAACATCCGTATCACTCCTGACCTAGTATTAAGGAAACTAAAATCCTTACGCCCAGGTAAGTCACCAGGTTGTGACAAAATCCGCCCCATAGTCTTGCAACAGTGCGCTGAAGCCCTCTGTTCACCGTTATGCAACCTGTTCAGGCATTCACTGGAGTCATACCAATTCCCAGCTGAACGGAAACAAGCTACTCTCTCTCCAATCTTCAAAGGAGGAGAAAGAAAGGACCCAGCCTGTTACAGACCAGTCGTACTACTTGTAGAATCCTTTTTGAATGTTTTGTTTTTTGGAAAATCCCTCCATGTTTACATATTTTTGTTATGACATGACGGACTCTTTCTGTTGACATTTTTGGTATTTTATTTGATTCCAATTTGAGATTTTATCATTGTATATTGTTATTATTTCTATATTTTGTACTGATATTGAAGTTTTTATGTTTGCTTCTGAACTGTATATATGTTGTTTAAATTTGATCTTTAATATGGCCACAGCCATATTTGGATTGATACGGTGGCGGTCGGACTTAACGTCACTTATTCCCCTTCGCCTTGGATGCTCTTCGGAGTAATTGCGACCTGGAAAGTGCATCAATTCCAGGTACTGCTTTGTATTTCCATCTTTTAATTAATATAGACCGTTTTCTCCTAGAATTGTTGCGTTTTTTGGACCTTGGACTGGGAGATACGCGTACAAATTGCACTTACTGGAAACCATTTGAACTGCCACGGTAGAAATCCATTACACTACTACCTATATTATCAAAGGTTATGGAAGGACTAGTGGACGAACAAATGAGGGAGTACATTGATAAGAATAAAATACTCCATGAAGCTCAACACGGTTTTCGGAAAGGCAGGTCGTGTGCATCTAATCGTCTCATCGCATGGGACAGTTGGACATCCTGCTTGAACCGTAAAATACCAGTGCACGTAGTATTTCTCGACTTCGCAGAAACCTTTGACACAGTGCCCCACGCACGCCTAATCGAAAAGGTTGTGGAAATGGGCTTCACTGACCCACCCCTTTTTGGCTCAGAAACTACCTTGAGAATAGAAAGTTTCGCACCAGGGTAGAGAGGGTGCACGCGAGTTGGAGAGTATCCACTTCAGGAGTTTCACAGGGGACCATCTTAGGCCCACTCCTCTTCCTGATATTCATTAACGACCTGCTAGGCTTAGTTAGCTCAGCGGCACTGATCTACGCAGACGATGCGAAGATCTGGAGGTCCATTAGAAGCGAAGAGGATTCGAATGAGCTTCAAAAGGACCTTACATCCATTAAGAAATGGGTAGTGAAAAACAGTTTAAAACTCAACCAACCGAAGTGCCACGTCATGCATTTCCTGCCTCATATGACGCGAACGACCTACACTCTCAATGGAAGTCCGCTCCCTAATGTCTCCTCAGAGCGCGATCTTGGTTTAATAACCACAGAAAGCCTCCACACCAGTCCAAACTATGTAAGGGATGCAGCCAAGGCAAATGCGACTCTTCAGTTTATGCGAAGACAGCTTGGTGCTATCACCCCAAAATTATTTTTAACCCTCTTTAAGACGTACGCGCGCACACACATGGAGGTTCACAACGTCATCGCACCCCGTCTGCTTAAAAGAGACATTAATCTCTTGGATCGAGTGCAGAGACGAGCAACAAAATGGGTGATAGGGTTGAAAAATAAACCCTACGACGATAGACTCCAGCTCTTGGGATTATTTCCACTGAGCTACAGGAGAATCGGAGGTGATCTGATTATGGCGTACACCATATTAAACACGCCAAAAAATCCCAATGTGAGCATCTTACTGATGCATCACCACCACTCCCATCGAGGCGATCCTCGAAAGATTGCACATCAAAGAGCGAATAATCAGATTCGTGCACATTTTTTCTCATAGCGAGTCGTCGCAACTTGGAATGCTCTCTCAGCCGAGGTAGTTACAGCCCCCTCAGTGGACTGCTTTAAGAAGGGACTTGATAATCACGTACTCACATGCGGACTATCATCTCCCTCTTGGACAAGCTGTGCCTGATGCATATCTTGAGACCTGCTAGTTGTTACCATTGCCATCTCCTCAGATCACTCAATTAATCTATCTCGCTTATTATCTCTGTTTCCTTTCCCTTGCCTACACTTCGGTCCTCTCTCACAATCTTCACTACCAATTAATAAACTAAATTCATCTATATATTACTCAGTTCTGAAATTTTACTCATATTATCATTTTAATTTATCCTTATTACCCTTATCACTCTCCACATTGCAACTAACTGATCTCCGGTTTGGTAATGTGACGGCTGCTAGTATCCAGAAACCCTACTGCCCTGAAACAAACGTTTCATTCAAATCCCGAAACATACCAACTCACAACCAACTGCCAACTGACTAGAATCAGACAGTCGAGTGGCTAGACCTCCATCGATTGGACATTACCGAACACCTGGAACCGTACCGAAAGAACAAGAATCGAGCGCGAAGAAATCAAATTGGTTTACACTAGCTCGTGAAAAAGATATTGGATATTGGAAGTTATCTAGTTAAGCAACCGTCGAAATCAGAAGCAGTAGTATTTTGTATGCCGACAAGTAATACCGAGAACTATCCCATTCATACCCCAGAAGTCACATGTGTATCAGCACTAAAGTGAGAAAGAATTCTGTGAGCACAATCGAAAGTGATGTATTTGGTATTCGAATTAGGAGCAGAATAATGATGAACAAGGGTATCGTCCTTTAATACAAATACTACAAACACCACAGTTAAAATGGGTATGCAAATTTCTGTAATTTGTTTCGCCTTTCTTCATATGTTCATCATGCATCTGTCAGGCTGTTTTTGGTATAGACTCTCTGGAATACGCTCGTGAGTGTTAGGCTTCACAACAAACTTAACGGCAAATTCACCTAGCTCCTTGAGCAGCATGTAGATTACATGCAAGTAAATCGTTAGTATTTAGGATTCGAAAAAAAGATTTTCAAATATTCTTCACCACCTTCTTCTTGGATGATCAGTGATTATTTTAACAAGTTTATGTAGCTGTTGTAGACTGTAGACTTTCGCATTCGAAAGAAGAAACTTTTATGAAGAGGATGCGATTGGTTTAATAGAAACATTTATTATTATCAGTTGTATCAGTGATTGTTTTACTGTAGTTTTTATCTACTCTACTCTGTACGCGCAAACTTTCCGTATGTTTTGCTGCCGTTTTTGCTCCACTGTCTCTGTGATCTCTACCCTGCTTTCTGGCACGATTTCGGTACCACGAAAACGCCAGCAAATATATTATGTCTCATGGATTAATATATCGACTGTGTGATGGGAACGTACTTGGTCTGCAATGGTGATCTTAGTCAATTTTCACTCGCCACTAGAAAACCTCAATGTTTTAGTTGAAGTATGCTTTATTACAGCATTTGTAAGTCGTAGTGTAAATGCTTCTACTCTCTAATGTGTCGTAGTGAAAGTAAAATGTGACACAACATAGGGCGTAGACAAACAGGCACAGGATATGATTAATATGTTGGTAACTTCATTTTCTGCCATTGATTTCTACTCAGAACTCATTGAGTATGAATGCTTGTAATTTTGTGGAGTAACTTATTGTCCGTCACTGACTCTCTGTTTTTGTCATGAATCGTGTATATGGTATGACGTGATCTAAACTTCTTTTAGTGTGCTGTGACTAAATAATCTGTGACTATATAATCCCAGTCGTCAATTTAGTCACGACAAATATTATGTTCAGTGCACCATTATTTCACTTCTCTTTTGGGTTCATCGAATTCTTTAACAGCAATGGACATAACAGTTTTCACCTAGTTGTAAGAAAATGAGTGTACAGGAGTTGTGGAGGTATGCTTGTAACCTCTTTCTTTCAATAAGATAGAAACTGCACTTGCAAATCATGGGAGCCATTGTCATTTGCTCATACTCTCATATACGACATGCAGCGTTCCCTGGACCAGTATAAGGGTTTATCTACTATGCTAGTTCGGTATCTATTTCATCGTTCATTCAACTGGCATCAAATATAAAGAATGTTACCATCGAATCAAAATATCATAGCAACGAACATGAAATATCTCATTTATTACAATTTAGTGATATTTCTCTTAATACTGGAACAGACCTTGTAAACTTTACATTTCGAGGCCCAGAAATAAAAAAGACAACATTTTTAATGCATTTTTTTGGCCAAAGCAGCCATCGTCTTATTATTTGGTAACTTAAAGTGAAGTCTAGATTACATGCTCTGGCCTGAACATTAAATGAACAGAGTATAACTGTCATTAATACACCTGCTAGCCGCAAAACCATTTGGGTTGTTGTTTGCATTATCGATTCGCTTCAATATAAATTCTTCAATTCACTTCATTAGTACCACTTGGTACCCGAGTTGTTGTGATTTGATTATCTGGCTTGTTTGGTAAAACACCGTTAAACCACCGTCTAAAAAGAAGATTAATCCAGCATTTTAGGGAATGTGGACAGTACTGAAGTGACACATATTATTCGGTAGGGAGCGAAAAACCAAGTAAAATCGTTCTAGCGTGAATCTGAAATAAAAAGTATTCGGTTTGATCAATGTTCAAGTCTATAGAAAACAAATATATCACTTTCAAGGTAATATTAATATTAAAATCGAGTTTTTGGAAAAAGATCTATCATGTGACATAATAAATATCTACACTATTGAATATGTTACACTTTCCATGCAATTTTTTTTGGCAGCCGCACAAGAAGATCCTTGTTGACTAGGAAAGTGACACTTTCTCGGGATGTCAAATTTTCTATTAGGTAATATTCATAAGGCTTCGCATTTTATATTTGGATCATGATTTGCGCTGTACTTCACAAGTACAAAATCAAACTGTATTACAGATCGATACAAGTCGTTATGTGGGCCAATTGTAGTCTGAGTATTATCTGACAGTCGTCGTAAGTCTATCGATTTCGGTGTGTAACTACATAGCTTGTCATAATCTTCTACCAAAGTTCGTTTCCCATATACTGGAACTCGCCTTCCTAAAAATCTATGTGTCTGATAATTGTAGCTATTATATAACTCCAATATGAACTCGTTCAGCTGCCCGAGCATAGATTTGTCTGGGTTTGAGTTCATATAGATTGCCTGTTTAAGTAGCTAGCATGTGTGATATATAATAATGTGTTGCTAGAGAAAGATTTCATATGGCTTTAATTTTGTGCTGTCATGTCAAGAAACAAAATTAATCTAGTATAAGACTAAATATAGGGTTACTCTTTAATATATCATTGTATGAATGAATGGAACCGAGTATTGTAGTAAGATGGTTGTCATAAAACGTTTAAGGTTCTAAAAAAAATTAATCATTCACCTGATCGACGTCCTTGGCTTCCATTATATTCATCCTAAAATGTCTAAATCTGAAAGTTACAAACCGAGAATGTGTAAATGTGTATAAGTATTATATGTTAATTCATTGAATTTCCGCAGATTTACTTATAATTTATGCCTGAGAAAATTATTTGAATTTAACTGTTTTTAGCAATAGACTCATCGAAATCAAAAAATACATTTGGAAACCTATTAAGTTTTATCTTCGAAAACTTGAGCAGTGCACTCTTACTAATCTAAAAGGTGTCAAGTTTGGGAGATTTGAACTGACGATGTGATTGTCTTCTTCATAACACTGATTTCATAAAATTTTGGATGCAGAGTAAAGGACATTTCATTTCTCTGAGTGGTACCTTTCAGTATGCCAACATAATTCAACCTCTGAAGTCGCATTTCCTCATGAGAACTTCGAAAATTCATTTCGACATCAACTACCTGAAGGTGCGTAGTCACCGTGTAGGGGCTTCAACTTTACGAAGAAAACACTATCGGCCAAATAGAAACATTCGTCACTCTAACCAATTTTGCGATAGTTCGCACGTTTTCGAATGTAGTCACAGAAATCAGACAATCCATATCAAAACCCTAGAACTGTAAAATAAGTAATTTAAACCGGTATATAACAATATGCTAGTTCATCACTTCTACAAGAGCATTAAAAAAGATGTGGATACAATAACATATGTTATTTTTACCTTTGCTGGGTTTTCGCAGGCTGCATACAACCTACAATATTTTCAAAATCGGAATTGTTGTAAGGTTGACATACTCATGACAATAAAATTGGATATGTATCATCATAGTGGAGTAGTAACTTGAATAAATGCAATGAGAGTGAAGACGTTGAGAGTTTTGTAAATAAATATGGTGTGAGAAGAAGTTCACGACCATCATATAGATCCATAGGAAATGATTGGGATGTCACCATTATTTCGTTTGGCGAATAGTGAAGTCAAAACGCAGTTAAAGCAGTTAAAATAAAAGAGAGAAAAACTACTTGTAGGAATGGAGTAATAAACCGAAGGTGAAGTCACCATAATGAGGAAGGATTTACATGTGTTTGCTTTTGAATGCACAAGTCCGACTCTATGCATTTGGTGAATTTGGGAGCCATGGGATTCGATTGTCGGCTGATGATGATGACAGATTTCAGACTATCAGCTTTATGCTGAGCGTCACAGAGATCTTTTGCAATAGCACTGCTCAAAGCTCTAATCCCATTGGCCTTAGACTTTTAAGGATGTTTTTGAAACCGAAAGTAAGACCTTTTCTCTGCTCTTCGAAAGTAACTGCCTGGACAGGTACAAGTAAATTTACATACTCATTTGACGGTTACATGAAAGCTGTACATATCGATCTTCGACTATGGTGAAGAACGTATTCTTTCTCATAAGACTATCAGGTTGGGTGTATCATCAGTTGTGGTTAGTGTGATTTTCGAAATCCATCCTTCTATTTAATGTTACTGCTACGTTGTCACCTTTAAGAATGAGTTGAGTGAAAACTGATTCCTGCCTCCTGCAGTTTGCGCAGAAGTATTGTTCTCACTTCCTCTATACTGCTCTATTAATTTCGTTGGATGTCCATTGTTCTTTATGCATCCAGTAATTTTACCTCGAAGAGAAACTGACACGAAATGTGACCACTGCTCACTTTTCCTCTAGAAAAAGCTCTGGGTATAAAACTATGCATTGAAACGAACCTTAGCACAATGATTTGCACCTTTTTAAGTGACCTTGGGTCAAATTTATTCCTATTCTGTTTGTGTTTTAATTCATAAACAACAAGGTTGTACTTCAGGTCATACGATAAACGCAAATACAGTTTATCCGCTATGATTAAAAGTGGTGACTTTGTCGAAAGACTAAATCATCAGAATCCTGAAAGCTCTGACGCTGTCGATTATAAGGCTTGTGGCTATGCTTTGGATGAGGATGATGAAAATCAAGAAACAAAGGATGATTCAAAGGACAGTGTATGGTCACCAGAAATTGAGCAGAGTTTTCGTGAAGCTCTGATTATTTATCCACCTTGTGGTAGAAGAAAAATTATTATTTCGGACGAGGGAAAGATGTTCGGTAATCTTAATTGTTGTGATTGATGCATGAGTATAGTTTAAATACACTTTTTGTTTATTTCCATGTTTCGAAACAATATACATTGTTAATAAAGTACTATCATTTATGACTAGCAATTGCACTTTACCTACACATGCAGTTGGTTTCATAAGTCCTGCATGGTAAATAACCTCAATTCTTCAGGTGAAAAGATAGTATGGAGATCCAATTTCGCTTTGGCTGTATCAAAAATAGGTATTATTTTTAAATGCTCTGAAAGAGAATTACAGTAGTTTGGCTAATGACACACGAAAAGGGACTGCAGACGTAATGTATTTCATCTGATGTTTGAACTATCGTCAAATATCGTCTCAGAAGATCAGTCCTAGTTGGAAGGAAGAGATAAGATATTATTGATATCAGAATTATCGTCCATTATACGGTAAGCTAGCGTTGAATCACCTCATGACCTACTTTAAGATAACAGAAATAAGTTTGTCTTCTCAAAGTAGGTCAGTAAGACCTTCAGCCATTTAGGTTCCTCGCCTCTGAAGTCTTTCTAACATATCGTTTCATACTCTAAACAGTAACCCGCTTCCTGAATTCCATTTTCCAAATATAGGCTTCACAAAAGTTGAGTCTAGTAACCTGGACGTTTCTCCCTCTAGATAACAAAATGTCTGACGAGGGGTTTGTAAGACTGTGAAGCCTTTGGCAGCAGCAGCCTTACGATTACCCCTAAATCGTTATAATCTGATTTAGATAGCACCATTACACTTATTGTGTAGTTGCATAAGACTTCACAGTTATTTATATGCATCACTACACTTCTTCTAGAGTCCACTTTCAATGCTCATTGGAAGATTGTGAGAAGTATTCCTCAAAGATGAATTAAATATATTCACCATATGCTTTTTGTTATCTTCACTCCGATCATAGTAGACATTTAAGGCTCACTACTATTTAATGCCGAAATTTGTAACACATATTTGTAACACGTAATTGACTTTGACAAGTAAATATGTATGACCAGATTGTTCGAAACGTATGGCGCAAATACATCAAATTTTTCAAATCAATTACATCTCACTGTTCTATCAAAATTTATTTTATTTTGTTGTTTACTTGGAAAAATTGTTTGATATAAGTGTGTTAATTACAATTGTCTTACACCTATAGATACATTCTACTTCGATTATTTATGAAACCTGTATTGATGCTCTTCATGATATCCATTTTATTAGGATTATTTAGAGAGTTTGGTTACGGAGACCAAAAATGATTAAATGTTATTCAGATGATCTTTATTTCTGCTATATAATATAGTCAAATTTATTACATGATGTATATTCCTCGATGTGTCCTCTTTTTATCATCATATCGTCTTTAATTGGTCTAAATCTATCATATAATCCAAGGTTTCATCTATTGCTTTTATTGATTTGTTTTTATCTGCTCAGGCCAATACTATATGGATGCGAAACATGGCCGGTAAGAGTAAACGACATTCGTAGATTATTAGTATTTCATTTCAGATGTCTTCGGAGCATTGATCGTATATCCTGGGACAGCCAAGTGAGAAATGCTATAGTGAGGTAACGAGTACTAGGTAAGAATGGCAGATCAATAGATGAAGTATTGAAACTTCATCAGTTGAGGTGGTTGGAACATGTTTTACGTATGCCTAACCACAGGCTGCCTCACCAAGCTATGTTTTGCAATGTAGGAATAGGTTGGAAGAAAGTTAGAGGCGGCCAGACCAAAACATGGCAGCAATCCATAAAGTCACTGATAAGTGGACTGAGTCATGTTGGTGGGTGTCGACTACCTGGTTGGGGTTCGCAAAATGACAGTAATCGATGGTGAGAGACCCTGAATGACATGGCTCAAAACCGTTTGCAATGGCGCAGGTGCATTCACTCTTTGTTTTCTCTCACAATTCTAACCTCCTGATATGCGGTCAATGCTCCGAAGACATCTATAATGGAATACTAATAATCTACGAATGTCCTCTACTCTTACTGGCCATGTTTTACAGCCATAAAGTAGGACGAAGCGAACTACTGTGCAGTACACTCGTCCTTTAGCCAGCAAACGGATATCTCGCCTACGCCATAAGTGACGCAGGTTGGCAAAAGCCATCCGAGCCTTCTGTATCCGTGCCGAGATTTCGTCAGTCACCATGCCATCGACACTGATGAAACTCCCGAGATAATTTAAGTGGTATACACACTCGACTGCTTCACTCCCTATCACTAGTTTAGGTACCGATTAAACTCAATCTTGGAGCGAAATTTTGCATTTCGAGGGTGAGAACCGCATCTCGAACATGCTTGCATTGTTGCTTAGGGTAGTGAAAAGACTGCATTCTGTCAGCATCTTCACCAGGTAGATCTATGTCATCAGCATATTCCAAGTCAACCAGTGAATATACTGGTAGAAGGTCCACTCCTGAAAATTCAGATGAAGATAATGTTATATCTAGGCGCATGTCTATGACAAAATTAAACAACAATGAGGAAATTGGACATCCCTGACGGACACCACTTGAATTAAAGAGTTCCGATGACAGCTCGCCATAAGCCCTCACTCGACCAGTATTGTTCGAGTACAGAATCTGTATAGGGACGCCTATATGTGTGTCTGTGTTCCCTGACCTGTCGCAGTGTGAAAATATGGTCTATAAATCCAGGTCCAGGACGAAAATTAGCCTGGTTTTCTCTAGTCTACTCTTCACGAGCTCTGGTTAGGCGTCAAAGTGTAATCAATTCTAACAATTTAGAAACTATATTAGTTAGACTGATCCCCCAATGACTGTTACAAGAGGACTTTTGTCTTGTAAATTGGGACAATCAGGGATTAAGACTAGTCAGATGGGGTTATGTCCAGTTCCCAGATTCTACCTAAGTTCTCGGTCAATTCAACTGTTAAAACTGGCTCACTATCCTTAAAAATCTCGGAGGTAAGCTTATCAAGCCCTACTGCTTTACTTCGATTCAGATTTCCTATAGCATACTCAACTACATAAAGAGTCGGAGGACTTATGTCGTTTGACATTCAGGATGACTGGAGATTGTGGGCAACCGAAGTGTGGCAGAAGGCCAGTTGAACTGATCCTTAAAGTGTTCTGCCCATCGGTCCAGTCTCCTGGATTGAGAATGAATAATGGTCCCATCCTTTCCCGTGATAGTCTCACTTACAGCCGGATTCCTAATACCGGTTTCCTTGATAAGTTGGAACAACTGTCTGCTGTTGCGTATCGCTGTTGCCTTTTCCATCGCTCTTGCTTTCTCTACCTACCACTGTTCGCAATCATAGCGTAAGCTTTTTATCAGCCTGTGCCTAGGCTGACTCCGCACCTCATTGCCCTCAGAGCCGGGCGGGATGAGTTTAGGAGCGTCTATCAGTTCGGTGGATGCTACTGAGATCCACGGCTTCTCCCTAACCTTATGGCTAACATAACGAGCAGGTATTATAACTGTTTCCACAGTTTTTTTGATATCCCTTCAAGCTGCCTCAGGGTGGGAATCACTGACATGGCCGCTGACTGTGTTTCTAGTTGTTCCTGGAGTATATTCTTAGCTATGTTATAATTCAGTAGAACCCTAACAGGTTTCCTTGCAGTGTCTTTCCTACTTCTAGTAAGCCTCAAACAAACACGCGCTCGCGGTAAGGCATGATTTGAATCTAAACATGTGCCCCAGAACAAGCGACAGTCTTCTATTGAACCCCTTCATCGGTGGCTGATCTAGTTGGGTCCAGCGTTAGGATGACTTTGGGGGGTCACCATATCGAAAGATGTTTAACCTTGTGCTTAAAATTAGTGTTTGCTAGAAATAGACGGTTATCTGAGCACAGTTGCAACAGTCGGTCGCCATTATTTGTTCCATTAGCCGCGACACCATAACATCCACCTAGGTGTGTTTCCTTTTCACTCAGTCTACCTACTGGAGCATTAAAGTCACCAACCACTACTACTATATCATAGCGCCTAACATTTTGAGGAGGTTCGAAAGCTTTCTGTAACACTCATCTTTTACCTCATCCGAACTGCAGTCACTGTAAGCGTAGGCAGATAAGACGAAAAGGCAACGGCAAGTGTCCCTATCTTTCTTAATCCTTACTGTCCCGTATAGTCGAACAGCACACAAGCGATTATCTTCTGGGACCCAGTCTAGGAGAGCTAGTTCTGCCCTACGAATCAATGCTACACCTACGACAGCGAGACCCCGGGGAGCAGCATCAGGGCTTCCAGTTACGTGAAGAATGAAACGATTCGACTTTTTACCTTGACATGGAGAGGTCGAGTGACACAGCATAGAGCGAGATTGTAAAGTCCTAGCTAATGAAGCCTGTTGCCATATTTGACACGATGTCCGGACATTAAAAGCTTCAATATGTAGTTCAGTACGATGTTTCAGGAGATCAGTCAATCACTTCACGGCTGCCCACACTGTGGAAGGGTGTTTCTTAAGGAACTTAGAAGATAAGTTAAGTTTGTGTTGGTCTTAAAGACCTGGGAACCTGACTGCAGATCCCAAGGGACTCCTGCTTGAGGCTGGTCACTCACAGACCTTTTATGGTAGGTTTTTTAAGTGTAAGTTCTGCTCTTCAAGTGGCCTTACTTCCGGAGACGGAAATCCGTGCGGTAAGGTGAGGTGTGACATCTTTAGGGTTGACCTTTTCTAACCCCTTCCCTCCTTGTGAGAAGGCAGCAACGCTGCAGATGCTGGTGTTCTGAGAAACATCATACTGCTGTCACACCCCTCTACAGTCAGCAATATGACTTGGCACTCAGACCTTGAGTAGCTGCTTTTAGTCTTACCGTTCTCCAATCGACATGCCTGTCATGATAGAACCTACAGAAACCTATGTTCTAGCCAATATGGCTCGGTTCGGTCATCACAATAGGCAGCCCCAACACCATGTCAAGGTGGCAGATGCTGTCGGGATCCTTACTTCTATAGGATTGGAATTGATAGATTCATCTCTGTGCTAATGTGGTATGGCAACTTAAGGTG